CGTTCATTATCAGCATCCTTCTGTAGAACGATATCTCTGCATGTAAGAATTAAATATTACTGAGGGCACCAGAATTTTAGAAATACCAAAGTAGGGCATAGTCCAAAATTGGTTGGTAACCACTGGTATACCTGTATTCTCTTCTTCATTTGATCAAATGGTCCAAATTCCACTGCCATATTGGAGGACCGGTATTTCATTTCATATGATTATTTTATTTCTTTTTAACAAACGTTTCCTTTTGCTCACATGCACAGTTCATGTCCTCGTTCATTATCAGCATCCTTCTGTAGAACGATATCTCTGCATGTAAGAATTAAATCATTACTGAGGGCACCAGAATTTTTTTAATTTGAAAGTTCATCATAGTCCAAAATTGGTTGGTAACCACTGGTATACCTGTATTCTCTTCTTCATGTGATCAAATGGTCCAACATCCACTGCCATATTGGAGGACCGGTATTTCATAACATATGATTATTTTATTTCTTTTTAACAAACGTTTCCTTTGCTCACATGCACAGTTCATGTCCTCGTTCATTATCAGCATCCTTCTGTAGAACGATATCTCTGCATGTAAGAATTAAATATTACTGAGGGCACCAGAATTTTAGAAATACCAAAGTAGGGCATAGTCCAAAATTGGTTGGTAACCACTGGTATACCTGTATTCTCTTCTTCATGTGATCAAATGGTCCAACATCCACTGCCATATTGGAGGACCGGTATTTCATAACATATGATTATTTTATTTCTTTTTAACAAACGTTTCCTTTGCTCACATGCACAGTTCATGTCCTCGTTCATTATCAGCATCCTTCTGTAGAACGATATCTCTGCATGTAAGAATTAAATATTACTGAGGGCACCAGAATTTTAGAAATACCAAAGTCGTTCATAGTCCAAAATTGGTTGGTAACCACTGGTATATTTGTATTCTCTTCTTCATGTGATCAAATGGTCCAACATCCACTGCCATATTGGAGGACCGGTATTTCATAACATATGATTATTTTATTTCTTTTTAACAAACGTTTCCTTTGCTCACATGCACAGTTCATTTCCTCGTTCATTATCAGCATCCTTCTGTAGAACGATATCTCTGCATGTTGAAAATATTCTGATCGTTCCAGAATTTTATTTCTTTTTTTTATTTCCTTGAAATAGTCCAAAAAATTTTGGTAACCACTGGTATACCTGTTTTCTCTTCTTCATGTGATCAAATGGTCCAACATCCACTGCCATATTGGAGGACCGGTATTTCATAACATATGATTATTTTCATTTCTTTTTTTTTTTTTTTTCCTTTGCTCACATGCACAGTTCATGTCCTCGTTCATTATCAGCATCCTTCTGTAGAACGATATCTCTGCATGTAAAATTAAATATTACTGAGGGCACCAGAATTTTAGAAATACCAAAGTAGGGGCATAGTCCAAAATTTTGGTAACCACTGGTATACCTGTATTCTCTTCTTCATGTGATCAAATGGTCCAACATTCACTGCCATATTGGAGGACCGGTATTTCATAACATATGATTATTTTATTTCTTTTTTAACAAACGTTTCCTTTGCTCACATGCACAGTTCATGTCCTCGTTCATTATCAGCATCCTTCTGTAGAACGATATCTCTGCATTAAGAATTAAATATTACTGAGGGCACCAGAATTTTAGAAATACCAAAGTTCACAGGGCATAGTCCAAAATTGGTTGGTAACCACTGGTTTACCTTTTATTCTCTTCTTCATGTGATCAAATGGTCCAACATTTCACTTTATATATTGGAGGACCGGTATTTCATAACATATGATTATTTTATTTCTTTTTTTCAACAAACGTTTCCTTTGCTCACATGCACAGTTCATGTCCTCGTTCATTATCAGCATCCTTCTGTAGAACGATATCTCTTTTTGTAAAATTAAATATTATCTTCAGGGCACCAGAATTTTAGAAATACCAAAGTGAAATAGTCCAAAATTGGTTGGTAACCACTGGTATACCTGTATTCTCTTCTTCATGTGATCAAATGGTCCAACATCCACTGCCATATTGGAGGACCGGTATTTCATAACATATGATTATTTTATTTCTTTTTAACAAACGTTTCCGTTCATTTCAGCTCACATGCATGTAAAATTTCATGTCCTCGTTCATTATCAGCATCCTTCTGTGAGAACGATATCTCTTTTCATTTTTATTTTATTAAATATTACATCATCGTTCACATTATCCCTTTTTTTCTACCAAATTTCCTTAAATTTCAAAATTGGTTTGGTAACCACTGGTATACCTTTATTCTCTTTTCATGTGATCAAATGGTCCAACATTCACTGCCATATTGGAGGACCGGTTTTTATTTCATAACATATGATTATTTTATTTCTTTTTAACAAACGTTTCCTTTGCTCACATGCACAGTTCATGTCCTCGTTCATTATCAGCATCCTTCTGTAGAACGATATCTCTGCATGTAAGAATTCAATATTACTGAGGGCACCAGAATTTTAGAAATTCCAAAGTTCATAGTCCAAAATTGGTTTCTTTTTGGTATTTCCTGTATTTCTTCTTCATCAAATCCAACATCCACTGCCATATTGGAGGACCGGTTTTCATAACATTGATTATTTTATTTCTTTTTAACAAACGTTTCCTTTGAAATTTCATCATTCATTTCAGCATCCTTCTGTAGAACATATCCTTTTTATTTACTTTTTAGAAATACCAAAATTTCATCATCCAAAATTGGTTGGTAACCACTTTATTTCTTTTTCTCTTCTTTGTGATCAAATGGTCCAACATCATCGCCATATTGAACCGGTATTTTATTTATTTTATTTCTTTTTAAAAACGTTTCCTTTGCTCATGCACAGTTCATGTCCTTTTCATTTCAGCATCCTTTTCCTTGAAATTTCTGCATGTAATCGTTCAATATTACCCAGAATTTTTCTTTTTTTTAAAGTAGGGCATAGTCCAAAATTGGTTGGTAACCACTTTATTTCCTTTATTCTCTTCTTCATGTGATCAAATGGTCCAACATTCACTGCCATTTGGAGGACCGGTATTTCATCATCATATGATTATTTTATTTCTTTTAAACAAACGTTTCCCTTTGCAAACGTTTCATCATCATTCACAGCATCCTTTTTATTTGCACAGTTCATTTCCTTGTTCATTTCATCATCCTTCAAAATGTAGAACCTTTCTCTTCATTTCCTTTAAATATTACTGTCCTCGTTCATTATCACCAGAATTTTAGAAATTTTCTTTAGTCCAAAATTGGTTGGTAACCACTGGTTCATACCTGTATTCTTTTTTTTATGTCCTCAAATGGTCATCAACATTCCACATCCATATTGGAGGACCGGTATTTCATAAAATTTCATTATTTTTTTCTTTTTAACAAACGTTTCCTTTGCTCACATGCACAGTTCATGTCCTCGTTCATTATCAGCATCCTTCTGTAGAACGATATCTCTGCATGAAAATTAAATATTACTTCACACCAGAATTTTAGAAATACCAAAGTTCCTTGATAGTCCAAAATTGGTTGGTAACCACTTTATATTTCCTTGATTCTCTTCATCATTGATCAAATGGTCCAACATTCACTTTTATATTGGAGGACCGGTATTTCATCATATGATTATTTTATTTCTTTTTAACAAACGTTCATTTGCTCACATGCACAGTTCATTCCTCGTTCATTTCCTTCTGAACGATATCTCTGCATCGTTCAATTAAATTTACTGAGGGCACCAGAATTTTAGAAATTTCAAAGTCATAGTCCAAAATTGGTTTTGGTATACCTTATTCTCTTCTTCATTGATCAAATGGTCAACATTCACTGCCATATTGGAGGACCGGTATTTCATTTTTTTATGATTATTTTATTTCTTTTTCACAAATCGTTTCCTTTGCTCACATGCACAGTTTGTCCTCGTTCATTATCATCATCCTTCTGTAGAACGATATCTCTGCATGTAAGAATTAAATATTTCTGAGGGCACCAGAATTTTCATCATAGTCCAAAATTGGTTGGTAACCACTGGTATACCTTCCTTCTCTTTTCATGTGATCAAATTCCAACATCCACTGCCATTCCTTGGAGGACCGGTATTTCATCATCATTAATGATTATTTTATTTCTTTTTTTTTCCGTTTCCTTTCATCATCATTCAGTTCATGTCTCGTTCATTATCAGCATCCTTCTGTTCAACGATATCTCTGCATTTTAGAATTTTTTTATTACTTGAGGGCACATCATTTTAGAAATACCAAAATTTCTTTTTAGTCCAAAATTTCATTGGTAACCACTGGTATACCTGTATTTCTTTTCTTTCCTTGAAATTTCAAATGGTTCAACATCCACTTTTATTTGGAGGACCATTATTGGAGGACCGGAAATTTCATCATCATTCACATTATTTTATTTCTTTTTTAACAAACCTTGAAATTTCATCATCGTTCACACATTCCCTGTTATTTCTTTTTTATTTCCTTTAAATCCTTCATCGTTCACAACGATTCTCTTTTCTTTTATATTCCTAAGAATTTCATCATCGTTCACCAGAATTTTTAGAAATACCAAAGTAGGGCATAGTCCAAAATTGGTTGGTAACCCTTTTTATTCTCTTTTGTGATCAAATTTTCACTGCCATGAAATTTCATCATATGATTATTTTATTTCTTTTTTAACAAACGTTTCCTTTTCATTTCATGTCCTCGTTTTTATCAGCATCCTTCTCCTTGAAATTTCATCATCAGAATTTTAGAAATTCACACAGTCCAAAATTTTATTTCCTTTTTTCTTCATGTGATTTCCTCCAAATTTCATCCATATTGGAGGACCGGTATTTCACATCCTTTTTTAACAAACGTTTCTTTTCATTTCATGTCCTCGTTCATTTCAGCATCCTTCTTCACACACGATATTTCTTTTTGTAAGAATTAAATTTCATCAGGGTTCACACAATTTTTTCATTCCTTTTTTACCAAAGTTAAATTTCATCATCCAAAATTCACACATCCCTTTTATTTCTTTTTCTTCTTCATTTCCTTCCAAATTTCATCATCGTTCACACATCCCTTTTATTTCTTTTTTCATTTCCTTTGCTCAATTTCATCATCGTTCATTATCAGCATCCTTTTATTTCTTTTTTTTACTGAGGGCACCAGAATTTCCAAAGTTAGTCGAAATTTCATCATTTTTCACAGGACATTTCATCATATGATTATTTTATTTCTTTTAACAAACCTTTTATTTCTTTTTTTCATTTCAGCATCCTTCTGAAATTTCATCATCGTTCACACATCCATTTTATTTCTTTTTCATTTCCTTTAAATTTCATCATCGTTCACACATCCCTTTTTTTTTAACATTTCTTTTATGTCCTTTCCTTGAAATTTCATCATCGTTCACATCCTTTCTTATTTCTTTTTTTCTTTCCTTTGAAATGTCATCATCGTTCATTATCACATCCTTTTTTTTTCTTTTTTTCATTTCCTTGAAATTTCATCATCGTTCACACATTCTTTTTTTTTTCTTTTTCATTTCCTTGAAATATCATCATCGTTCACACATCCCTTTTATTTCTTTTTTATTTTCTTGAAATTTCATCATCGTTCACACATCCTTTTTTATTTCTTTTTCACTTCCTTTCAATTTCATCATCGTTGACACGTCCCTTTTATTTCTTTTTTATTTCCTTGAAATTTCATCATCGTTCACACATCCCTTTTATTCCTTTATATTTCCTTGAAATTTCATCATCGTTCACACATCCTTTTTATTTCTTTTTTATTTCCTTGAAATTTCATCATCGTTCACACATCCCTTTTATTTCTTTTTTATTTCCTTGAAATTTCATCATCGTTCACACATCCCTTTTATTTCTTTTTCATTTCCTTCAAATATCATCATCGTTCACACTTCCCTTTTATTTCTTTTTTATTTTCTTGAAATTTCATCATCGTTCACACATCCCTTTTTATTTCTTTTTCATTTCCTTGAAATTTCATCATCGTTCACACATCCCTTTTATTTCTTTTTCATTTCCTTGAAATTTCATCATCGTTCACACATCCCTTTTATTTCTTTTTTATTTCCTCGAAATTTCATCATCGTTCACACATTCCTTTTATTTCTTTTTTATTTCCTTGAAATTTCATCATCGTTCAAACATTTCTTATTACATTATCTTTTTTTATTTCCGTTAAATTTCCTAGTTGTTGACATATCCTTCGTACACGACATACTTCACCTATCTAGCGACTGAAGTTAAGTAATATTTTGCTAAGCTAATTGAAAAATGTTGTAGTTTCATGTAGACAATCTATTTACAATAGTGTCTATAAATTCGTTTCTAGATACTTACTTCACAGATGAATAGAAATTTTTAAGATATTTTTAGAACTTATTGTACGTTTTATTTAGCATATTTAATGTGCGGACGATGTGCTTCATTTACCTTTGATGTTTTGTAATTATTTTAAAACACTTAAAAATAAACATGCATTTTTATGCTGATATAGTTAATATAGCAATCTAAAATAATGCTTCAGGCCAGCTATTAATTGGCAAATATTCAATCGAGCTGTAATTAAATGGGCCTAAGAAGTAAGTACTTAAAACATCATTTAAAGAAATTTTGCGTTGATAAGCATTTTGAAAATTGTAAATTTACACAGCAGTGAGGCTAAATTTATTTCCGTTATCTAGTTTTCATTTTTTCAATTTCTTAATGGAGCAGGTAATTACATATTGTTTAGTTATTTTCTCCGTATTATTTATTAATAATTACGTATAATTGGAAAGAAAGCGCATTGGACCATATGGTATACACAGAAATCATCTCATAGCTTATTAAAACCTGAAAGACCTGAAAGAAGAAATTACATTGTGCAATCATCAAAGAAGTAGCAGGAATAACCTATGTATTTGTGGAGTTAAAAAGTTTGCCTGCATCTTTGATCATATATATTTCATCCACGGTAAGATATATGTAAGATAGATAGATAGATAGAGAGAGAGAGAGAGAGAGAGAGAGAGAGAGCGGTAGAGGTTCATAAAACAAAATCTTTCCATATTATACGTCCTTGAAATTGATAGCTTAATTTTTTATATATTCTTTTATTTTCAATTTTGTTGTATTTTTTCTTATAGATATTTCAAGTACACATATTGGGACTAAACTGTATTACTCTTTTAACATATATTTAAATAGGAAATTAAGTTGATTTCGTGCACGTTATGAAATTTGTAGTCTAGCATGTCTTGTCGGGATTAAGATCGATGGAGGCTCTGCATATACTCCTGATATCCACCTTTGCTCGTGTAAGTTTTCTTTATTTTTTTAGCACTACCTCAAACCAAATTTCCATATTTTCGATAAGGATCGAACAAAGGGAAAGTAAAATTTTCTTAATGGCTTTATTATATACATAGTTACATCCATGTTAAATAATGCCGAATCGACTTGACAACATTGATTCTATTTGCATGACCTAGTTTTAGATTTTACTCAATCAGCACCATAAATTTTGCATTCCTTGATTTTAGAATAATATTTAGACGAAGAGAAATTTTGATATATTCGTAGGAGTATATTTGTTGTTGTTATATACATTACCAATAAACAGCAATGTGTATATCGCAATCCACATAAATGCGTTGAACACAATTGTAAGTCGGGATAATACATTGTCTAAGTAAGATTAGACAAGATTTCTGTACCTAGTTAATTTGAGTAATTATTGTTCCCGGACTGCTCCCGTTTACAGCATTTGTTATGAACCAAGTTGAGATACCCAACCTACCCAGTTTGTTTTTGGCCCCTTTTCATCTCAGCTGGTTGAGATTTATGTATTTCCTATGTCCATATATATTTTCTCCTTTCCCTCTCACTTAGCGAGAGAGCCTCTTGATTCTGTCGTAAGGCAGAATACAGACGCATCTTTTTTTCAGGGTCCTACTAATAGTAGTGATATTTATTTTGCTTTGTTTTGATATTTAGTTTGTTTTTGGGTTCATCCCCTCCCCTCTCATTGTCAATCATTAGATTTTTATATATAACAGTTTTATGATCATCAAATTCTTATATCTCGTGGTACGTTTTGTAGGTCATTTTGTCAGGATGCGGCATTATGATATATGGAAGATTGATTGGTGAAGTATGAGTTTTTATAGTGAATGTGTGAATTGTAATGAGTGAATATGTTGTGAATCGGATTAGCGAGGTATATAATAGTCAGTGAAGACAACCCTCAACCCATTCCCCCTATTTGGTCTTGTGCCATAATTGCATGTTCATACAATAAATATAAAAACACTAAGTATTCCACTACTATCAGTGGTTTACTTACTTCACACCGCTTGGGAGTATTGTATTTCGTTGATGTTATAATCATTACCATTTCATTTCCAACCTCCGTTTTGGTTATTCCTCATTAGGTAACACTTTCTAAGTTAAAACAGTTGCATACGATTTATTAGTAAGTGATAACTTCTTGTTCATTGGTTTAAAAATAAAGCGATTGTCATTGATGTCAGTACTTTTAAAATGGAAGTTGAGAGCTGAGGTAGTATTCGCGAGATCCGTTTACTAAAATTGCATAAATTTGATAAACGTTTTATTGTTAGTCAGCACATATTTTACAGAAAATTTAGAATGCTAAAAGAAGCAGAGAGAGTTGATTGATAATTTTATAGATAAGAAAACCTGTACGGAAATGATGAGAGAACTCGTTCTTTAAAACGTTTAATCCAACAACTGCTCTGATTGCAACTGAAATTGCTAACTTTCGAATCTTACATTTCCTGTTTCTAAACCAGATAAAACGATATGCACTTTACAATATCAACTTTCCTGTGCATATTTTCTGATGTTTTTCACTTGATTAGCATGTTGAACAACTTCCTCTTTATTTTTAGCAATTTAATCTGTGTCAAATGTCTCTTTCAACAAAAGTCAGTCAATATCAATTTATTAATAATATATATATATATATATATATATATATATATATATATATATATATATATAATATATACCGATGAAAGTGAAGGTAATATACAAACTCGAACTTTCACAGCATTAATCCAAAAGAGGGCTCGATACCGATAGTAGAGCGAAAATTATTTATTATAATTTTATCTTATAGACAAAAACAGTTTTGTGAGATGATGTGCCTAAACGTTTGACCGTGGCTATCGGTAAGGAATCTTCCCTGACTAGCCAGCATTGAACACCCTTCCATCACCAAACTACTATCAACAAATACTATTGTTTCTCTCCATCACCTTTTTGTTTTATGTATATTTTTTTCTCAAACAAATAGAAAAAAGGAAGTGACGTTTCACACACGGCTTGCCTACAAGCAGAATTGTTCATAAACATTTTTGGTTGTCACCCGTCTAGGTGCAGTTGCATCTTTGTAGGACAAACTGTTTTTGCCTATATGATAAAAAAGAACATATATATATATATATATATATATATATATATATATATATATATATATATATATATATATATATATATATAAATCGTATACCATCATATATATATATATATATATATATATATATATATATATATATACGATGGGTAAATTTTTGGCAATTCAATTTTTTTTTAATTTCGATCATGCTCGTTGTATTTTTCTGATTTTGTCAACTGCACAACCATGACAACATATTAATGACAGTCAGACATTTTCTGCGTGCACATGACCCAATACATAAGGCCATCTAACTACACAGACTGCAATCCCCTTGATTATTTGGGGCGCAGTTGAGGGAGGGACCAACAAAACTCCCTGTAACACCAAAATTATAGCAGCACTCAACAACGTATACAAGGAAACCGTCCAGAAGAGATGCAGGTGATTCTGGAGGCCGTAGTTGAAGCCAATGGCGATTTTATTGAATCAGTGTACTCTTTCGTAATTGAAGATATTTTTATGCAATTTTGGTTAATATATCTGTTAAAATGAGATGTCAGTAACATTTTTTATTTTACATAATTTGTACGACAATTTATTCATCTCATTTTGCATATATATATATATATATATATATATATATATATATATATATATATATATATATTTGTATGTGTGTGTTTTTCCATTATTTACTATAGTTTTTTTTTTAGATGTCTTCTATTTATTTAAAACCTAAACTAATATCTTTATACGTCTGACAATAGTTGTATTGATTTTTTTTTTGTTTTTTTTTTATTAAATGCGAGTATCCCTGATGCATCTATCGATTTGGGATATATATTAATTTATAACGCCATTTGTGTTAGCAGCAGGCTTTACTAGATTCTAGTTATAGAATTTCCCTGTGTTACCATATTAGTGATGAGTAGATGTTGTAGCGGATAGGAGATTCTAAAGAAAAAAATCGAAGAGGGGAATTTGAATTGCCCTCGACTCCGCTGCATTCAATTACGCGCAGATACATTTGGGAAGAAGGTATGGATGTTTCACTCCCCCAGCTACGGGTTAAATAGTAGAACATATATCTGGAAATATCTTTGTTGTTCTTAAAAAAATGATAATTGAATATTCACTTGCCAAAAATAACAATTATTCTTACAATACA